TTATTCATTCTACATTTGATTCTACTTTGTATACATTCAACACATAATTATATATTATGTCTGAAAATATGAAACCCACTACACAGTTACAAAAGTAGCCTATCTTTCCTGCACTGTGATTTCCCTTAATCACTTAGAGATCTGTCAGTTACTACCGTGAGTCTAATTTTATTCTTTGCCTGCTTGATAAAGAGCTGACCAAGGGACAAATAATGTCTGCTTTGTTCCATCCTTTTGACAGGTTGTCAGATTTAAAATAGGAAAGAAATTTTATGAATAAGAAGCAAGAGTTGCTATAATTAACACAGAGTCAAGATTGTAGAATATAAATATTTATTAGATTTATTGAATGTATGGCTTTTGAAAATAAAGCAAGTAATTTTAATGGATTGCTTTTCCTTTGGAGGAAACTGAAGGTTTTTCTCTGAGGTATTACGCACTCATCAAAGCAAAATTATAATTGCTATATTTGGTCTCTTGGGGCTTGAGGAACCTCCAGTAAGTCTTGTTATTCTGACTCCAGTAACAGGTCATTTAAAGTCTTTGTGTCTGAATCAGGGGAGTCTTGTGTTTCTGATTCCAAAATCCCTTTCCAATGAATAAAAAAATAAGATGCCAAAATCAAACTGAATCACGTTTCAGTAATAGAGAAATGGCACAAAGTTTTAAATATATCACACTCAGCACATCTAGGATTTTCAAATGTATTCTGCCAAAACATCAATCATTTTTAAAATTCACAAATGAATCTCAAAGGAAAGTAAACATCTAGGCCAACCAATCTGACCAAGTTCTCTCTCCAAGTGGCAACAAACTTATCTTGCTTGTATATTGGGATTAAATATCTAGAAAATACAAATTCAATGGTTTCCCCTAGAAAATACAATATTTTTGATTTCACAAAAAATCTTCATGAACATCCCAGATAAGTCTGCATTGCTGTTGAATTTATCTGCATGAGACAGAACTCTTCAATCATCATTCTCCAAAAAATTTAATGCATGAAATCATAAAAGTTTTATATGTACGTGATGGTTCTGTGTATCAAATGATTAAATATAGTTAATTAATATATGCCTTGCTTCACATAATTATCATTTTGGCAGGACCACACTTCATTCTCACTCAGCATTTTGAATACAATCTATTATTATTAACTGTTGTCACCATCTTGAACTAACCCTTAGGTCTCTTAACCTGATTCTCCTATCTAAAAGAAATTTTGCATCTCTGAATAATAAATCCCAAACCCATCCTCCAAACAATACACACTCTTGATAACCAATATCCAATCTACTCTCTAATTATGTAAGATCCCAAGTAGAGGAGAATGTGTTCTTTTCCTTTCTGAACCTGGCTCACTTTACTTATCACTATGTCTTCTGGGTACATTTTTGTCTCAAATAACATATGTTCTCTTCTGTGATTGAATAATACTCCATTGTGTTTGAGAACCACGTTGAAAAATGAAGCTTTTGCAATTAAAGAGGGGAAGGAGCAAAGCTTAAAAAGTGTTACTTGGGGATCTACTATGACATCTTGACGAATTCTTCATCTACATTGAACTTTTTATTTCTCTCTTTGAAATGAATTTTAAGAAACTGAGGTGATATAGCTAAATAGTTAAATGTAGAGGCAGTGGGGTCTGTCTTGCTTTGCATTGTTCAGAAACAGTCTTGAGTGTTTAAGACCATGGCTCTTAAGCCACATTGCTTACCACCAGTGATTAGACATGTGGCCTAGGTGACATACTTAAGGATTCTGAACTTCAGTGTTCCAGTATAAAATGGAGATCCAATAATAGAAGCTACTTTATAGGACTGTTTTCACAATTGATTTGGTATTTATACTATGCTAATACCATCTGTCATATTTAAAATAACCTTCCCCAAACTTGAGTTTCTAATTGTATGAATGGTGATTGGTAAAAAGAATTGTTCTAAAAGAGTTAAAAAATAATTCCATGTAAATGAATGACATTAATGGCATTATTATTCATACTATTATCAGTAATATAATAGTTAAATTAAACTAATAAAAGCACTTTACATAATAGTCTTCATTGGAGGAAATCACAAAGCTTCCCCAAAACAATTTTATAAATGATAGTGTTAAATCCTCTAAAGGCAGAGTGGTTAATGTTCACACTTTCTAAGTGTCAATAAGAGATTTTCATGCTCTGGACTCGTGGGGTTTGGAGTGTGGAGCCCCATTATCCTTCCTCATTCTCATATTCCTACTGCATGTAAGAATCCTTGAAAACTTCATGGCCTACTTTTTAGAAGTTGTTAATCATTTGATAAGTTAATACTAATGATTTATGATTGTAAAATGACAGTATTATTTGTTAAGTTCTTACTTAATGTAAGTCTCTATGATACATGATGTGTGTTCATTTCCTCACTTAAACTTTGTCACAGATCTGTGAGGAAATGATATTATCATTATTTTTCAAAAATTCAGAAGTGGAGATTTAGAGTCAGAATAGCAAGAATCTCAGAAAATCATAAAGCATGTAGGAATTTGCCTGATACCAAATCTAACTGTTCAAATGTTCTGTTCAGTGTGCCTATGACATGTTTGTCACGTGTTTCTGCTTGAATAAAAAGAAGTGGTATCATTTCCAGGATAATTCTGACTCAGAAAATGTTAGTAATATCTTTGCAAAAAGTTCTGTCAGAACTGTAAATTCCAGCACTTGAAAAGTGGAAAAGAAAGATTACAAATTCATAACCAGCATGGGATCTGTAGGAAGAATCTTTCTCAAAACAGAAATTTAGATATGAAATGGTTAATTGCTATTAACTGGTATAAATGTGGATTTTGTGTATGAACATACATTTATACAACATTTAAGATAATTGTGTTACCCATAGATAATGAGAAGTGTAGTGAGATGAGGATGATTTATTTTCCTTTCCTCGGCCCAATGTAGGTCATACTTGGTTAATAATCATTCCTATTGGGACTCTTGTAACAAAATATATATTCAGAGTCCTGGAAATACGTTAGATTCTGGCAGTTAAGAGATTTCATGCAGTCTAACTCCTAGTCCAGTACAACATATTTTATGTAATTTTTTGTGACTTTATTGTCTCTACAAAACGATGAATATTTTAGTTCTATTAAAGAGAGGATATTAAAAGGAATATAAGGACTTCTCAATAGTTATAATTACTTGAAATTGAAGTACTCTGTTTCTATGTGTTAAGGTGTCCACAGAGAAATGTAGGAAATGGTAAAATTATCATATCTATGTTAGACAAAAAGAATTCACAATATATTTTCATTTCATTTACCTGTCCATCACTCTGCACATGAATTGCAATGGGATACAAAAGTTGGGGATGTGATAAAATTATAATGAAATATGTGAAATCATTGCTGATGTAAAAGTGTATACAACATAGAGAATTAATATAGGATAAAGAAATTTTTAAAAATTCTTTCAAGAGACTGCTGCCAATTAATGTCTCATAGAGAGGATAGAGTAAGACATGAGACTGAAAGGACAAATTCTAATTTGTCAGTGATAAGGGATAACTCTGGACGGCCATCTAAATCTGTTACTCAGCAACTTTTATAATCCAGGCTGCATGGAAGAAAATGACAAGCAATGAAGTGCCAGACAAATTCTGGTAGATAAAGCAGCTACAGAGCTTAGCATTTAGGATTTATGACCATGAGGTTGGAAGACTAAAGAAAAAAAATGGTTTAAAATGGAATATTTTGTTCTTCCAATCACTCCTCCTCCATGTTTCCAGCTTTCAGATAGCTTTACCAATTCTTCTTTCAAAACACAATCCCAGTCAGGCATGTCTTCACATTTCCACCCACCACATCTCACCTCATTTTCAATGAGTCTCTCAACTCTTACTTCAGGGTCCTTTGCAGTAACATTCTTCACACAGCAGGCACATTGGCTTCCTAAAAATGTAAGACATATACAGACACCCCTGGTTTATGACTGCTTAGCTCAAATTTTTTCAGCTTTATGTTGTGAAAGTGATACGCATTCAGTAGAAAACTGTTCAAATTTTGACCTTTCTTGAGCTAGGGATATACAGTAGGATTCTCTCTGTACAGGGCATGGTAGCAAGTTGCACCTCCCAGTTAGGTCTGTGATCACCCAGGTGGGCATCCAACAATATACAACGTACCTTTATCCATGCTATAATCTCCACTAAGATAACTGTATTAAATGCATTTTTGATCTGGAGCTTTTTAAGTTAAGGGGAATCTGTATGCCATCCCAGTGTGTAATAATCTACCAGATTTCTCTTATACTTAAAAATAAAGGTCAAACTCTACTCTAACCTACAAGACACTGTATTATCTGTTCTTCCTGCTATCCCCTAAGCACATTCATATCCCT